CCACTCTCTTTCAGAGCACTTACACATGCAGGAATTACTTCCAAAAAAATGAAGCCAGCTATTCTAGGCAAAGTCTGATACCAAGACTTAAGACAAAATTCATATGAATTAACAGCATTATATTGGGATGATAAAAGTCTTCAGGTTTATATTATTTAGCAGTTACCTAACCTTTCAGCTGCCACCTTCCAATTGCCATTTTCTCTGAACCAAGTTTTCCACAGAGTATTCAAGACTGTTATAATCTTACCTTTAGAAAGAATTACAGACAAGGCTGCAAAACACTTTTCTATCCAATCTTTTTCATTAAAAAGATGGTCTCCAAGAACTTTGTTGTACAAAAAAAATAGACAGTTTAGTGTTTCATGAGCACAGCAAGCCTGTTGTAGTTCAAATGAAATGAGCTTCAAAAATGATTGGAAAGATTGATGATACAGATAATCTTCTAAAAATAGTTTCTGTTAACCTCTCAAAAAGATAAAAGGATGGAACTACTAATTTTAGTGTGTAATCTCTTGTACACACCCTGCCTCACAAGGTAACACTATCACCTCATACTGGGCAAACTCAAGGGACCTTATAACCTTTGTTATTAGTGTCAAAGAACTCAAAAAATGAGAGAATATGCACGCAACAGCAACAAGATGTTCTTCAAAATGGTTGCTACTGATTTAGTGACACCATACAACATGCATCTCTACAGTCTATTACAGAAGAGTCCTGGAAAAAAATTCACACTAAACCCTGTACAACAGTTTCTTGTCCAAAACATCCACAATATTTATCAAACAGCTTTATCCTCATTTAATATTCTTATTAAAGAGGGAAAAATTAAAAGGTCACAGTGGTTTGTTAAGGATATAGACAAAGCATATAACTTTTTAAAGAGACATTAATTTTCATCCAATTACTCTAGTATTCCAGAAATGGTATTTTTGACTGAAGTAGACAAAAGTTCTACATACCTCAAAGCCAAGTCTATCTTTCTCTTTCCAAAAACAGAAGTGTGTAACCTTCTTATCCCAAAATTCATCTGGCTTTACTACACAAACAAGTGATACCTCAGCTGGAACAACATTCTGTAAAACAAATGAAAAAAATAAGTAAACCATTCAAGATTAAACCTTCATTTACCACAGAACTGAATTCCACTTACATGTCATCATCTATTCAAGAACTTAAAATTTACAGACAGAAATTAAACTAAGTCTGCTGCATCTACACCACATGCTGGCTCCATCCTGCTTTGTAGTAGACTGCACTAAATTTCATAGCAAAATTATGTCAGAACTGAAAAGAAAATCTAACCTCTTAACTCCCAGTTCTGAGGCCTAACCATTAGTCCATGCTACAGCAGTATAGAAAAACATGAATTATTGGCTAGACTTAATTTATGGCATTTCATTAAAAAAATGTTAAGGATAAAGCTTTTATCAGTGTTGTTTACTACGCAGAAAAACTGTAATTGTGAAGTTAGAAAAGAATTGAACTTTGTTATTAAATCACATCAAGATTATATCCTAGACTTCTCTAGTACATATTGCTTAGACTAGAATGAAAGGGCTTAATATTAACATTTCAGCATATTCATTCATAAAAGTATTATCGTAAAAACATTGCTCAGCCTAAACCAGTAATTTCATCTACCAAGTTGATTTTATGTTGTCACACTGAATGTAGATCAAGAAACGGAGACTCTTGATTACTCCCAAGTCATCAGTTATAGTAATAAGCAACAGTTAGATAATCACAGTACTGACATAAAGGTGACACAGTGCATGGGATTTCTCTTCAAATACCTCATAACAATACAATTCTGAAAAAAGTTACATACATCCAATTCAAAGCATAGCACTGAAAAAGAGATATGCACCATGTTAATGAATATACAAAAACTATTTAAAAGTAGACAAGATTTTTAACACAGAAGCGCCTCTTTGATGACCAACCAGCACCTTTGAGAACTATGTGTGTCCAAGCAGAGAGGAATCTCAAGTGGTCTGCACAAGTCATTAGTTTACATATGAAAATCTTTATTGCTTCCTTCTCAAATTAAAGGTACAGGTGTGCAAGTTATGTTTCTGCAGGCTTCACAATGGCAGGAAACGTGCTGACAGGAAGCCACTCAAATCTGAGCATGGGCAAACAGGTACCTTCCCCACCAGCTGAAGTTCCCACTCAATGTCACAACTGCACATTAGCTGAAGTGAAAGCTCAATCAAGACTGTAATCAGAATATAATGGATCCAATTACTATAACTATTAATAGGAATGACATCTTAGTCAAGAATAGGTGAAAGACACCTTGAAACAGACTAAACTCAGGAGCAACAACAAGCCAGCAGGACAATGAAATATAAATAATTTATATTTGACACACTTTTTGATGCTTCATCTAAGTCTGAGAGGAAAATTGCTCTGATAAAGAGAAGTCATCTATGCAGACAGAAAGGCACTAGTCTGAGTTCTCTAATCTAGTAAGAGCAGTGTATCTTGCTTTTTTTGGACCACTGAGACCAGAAAATGACCCATTTAGCAGAAATGAGACTTTATTGTAACCCCACAGTTCTGAAAAGCTAAAACAACAACTTGTTACGGATTTCTTTAATTGAGAATTAGCACTTTTTTTCCTTCTCGTACTTTGTAAAGCATCTAGGATATAGTTTGTGATTGGGACTATTGTACACAACTAAATCAACCATAGCCAACTCCAATGGAAACCAAGTAGTAGAGCACACTGCATCAAAACCTACTCAGCTGCATTATCAATGTGAACTGCTCCCCTGCAGACATTCCCACTACTCATAGTTGACGACATCAGGAGCATATTTCTGTATTTTTTTTTTAACTAAAACTCAGTTTTAGAAAGAGGTCTACAATTACACATTCTCAGCATGCAATGAATTTGTCCCTCACTTGAGTGAGGTATATCATCCACTTTCCAGACTGTATTTTCCCTGTACAGAACTGTCCCAGAACTACATTTTGAGATTAAAAGACCAACACAGCTATTGGGTTTGCATCGATAAAACTAATTAGTCAACTATGAATGTATAAAAATTTATTTACCTGTAGCATTAACACAACTGTCTTTACCACGTTCCATTGAGATTTTCTGCCATCCACTATCACAGTAAATCCTCTAGCTTTACACTTCTCACTAAAAGAAGAAAAACACTTAGAAAAAATAAAATTTACAAGCAAGTGTCATATCCCAATGACTGTGGATTTCAAGTCTACTGAAAAATACAACTACATAGCTTTTTACTTATAAAAACAGTCATAAAAACCTTATGTTTACTCATTTAAAAATAACTTTCAATTTTAATGCTCAAGCATATTAACAGATACTCCAAATTAGAATTTCTCAGTAGCACTGAAGTGTATTTCATAATAGAAGCATTTATTTAAACTTTAGCAACTCTGAAAGTTTCATAACTATAAACTTCACAAAAACCTCAGAAAGATCAATTGACAGTTTCGTAAGGAAAGCAAAGGGATGTAAGCTGTCACAAGGTTACTTGTTAATTGGCACAGATTTGAGAATACAGCTATGTATCACTTGATGCATGTCCAAGCAGGAAGCTATCTAAACATGCTTAAATTTCTTTCTTGAACAAACGGACTAGAAATTGCATTGCACAAAAAGCCTCTACAAGGACAGAGGCTTTGCGTTATGGATCCACAAGAAAGAGTATTCCAGACTGACATTTCTTTTTTCTTCTCATAAGGTTTGAGTCTGTTTACACTATAAAAAAAACTGCTGCAAAGTTAGCTGCAAAGTCAAAATTTCAAAGGCACTTCTGCTCAAGTACCAAATGGGAGAAAATAGTGAAAAACTTTCCTCATGCTCTGTACATTCCCACAAAGCCCTCTCCAGCTCATTTCCAACTGAAGGCAGCAACAAGATGCCCACAACAGTAGCTGGGCAGAGAGTTCAATGGTGGCAGCAACCTCTGGATATTACCAACAGGTGGGAAGTGTTACCTTCTCACAACCAGCACAACAGCAGCCAGAAGAGGGCATGCACATGAGCCCATGGTTTCACCATTAATTCCCACATTAGGTATCATGTCTCAGGTTGAAGTTTTTGTGTATAGCAAAGTTATAAGTAACTAAAAAGCATGACATTTACATAACATAGAAAAACATTATGTAATCTTTAGTGCCCCAGTCTGCAGCTACAAAACAAAGTCACTTCTGCAATCTCCTTAGCTTACAAAAAAAAAAGCAACTTGCATGTAACAGTACACATTCTGTTTCACAACTAGAAATTTTACTTTTAATTATTTCATGTTAAAGCTGAGCTTCATCAGGTATGGGTGGAAGACAAAATTATCTTGGAATGTAGAAAAAAAGGGAAAAACCATTTTACTGTAACTATTTCTTCTTAAATAAGACTAAAGTTGGCTGCCAATCCATATATACTTTTGGTTTTAAGAAACCTCTAAAATCACATGCATAATTTTACTGGAAGCACTCTGAACATTCAAGGCTTTGTGCATTCAATGTTTAGTTAGAATGAATTCAAAAGGCACACTACCACTACTTCTAAGAACAAGATGAATAGTGTCACTATAGCATCTTGAGGCATGGCTTCCTTACACTTACCAGAATCTAGCAATATCAGCATCTGCTATTCTCTACTACTACACCTATTAAAAGCAAACAAAAAACCCAAACATCCCCCCTCCCCCAACTAAAACAACCAAATTAAAAAGTGAGCTACCAGTTCTGAAAAGTTCAGCCAACACTAAAACATACACATTTGTATGAAAGTTTAAAACAAAAAAATCTCTTGGTGATTCAAGCCACAATTCAGACAATACAACAAAGGAAGCAGACTTCAGTATGCACAGACAATAGCATAACATTGCCACTTTCATTTTTCTTGGATTCTGAAGATGTCTTCAGAATCCAAGAAAATCATCAAATAGCAAAGAAAGGCATAACAGTAGATTAAACACTAGGAATAAGTTGTCTGAAGTTTGAGGAAAGCTTTACACACACACGCCCCAAAGAATTTTTACACAAGACACTATAAACAGTTATGCTGCTAAAATATTGGACACAGCTATCCATCAACACTAGAATGCATATTTCAAAACAGTTATAGTTACAATATATGGCATTCACAAGTGAATTACAAGTTAGACATATTAGGTTACCTTACACATAGAACTTGGAGAAAAAAGTAACATTAATGTTTCTTGGACAGCTATCTGGGTTTGGGACAACATCCCTTCCCAAACCCTTCCTTTTTTCAAATACTGTTCAGCAAGTCTTTCCAGAAGAAAAAATGCAAGCATTTATGCCAAAAAGTTTGTATTTCCCACTGAAAACAACATGCAAACAAAAATGACGATTTTTCCATACCATAAAAGAGAGGTCATTTCCTCCATGACTGACAAACAGAACATTGTATGTGGGAATACTGAACTTTGCTTTCAAACAGATTGTACAAACTGGGAAAAGTACAAAGAGTACTCTGGTTGAATTTTCAGACAGTTATTTTTACACTAATATATGTAAAAACATACATCAGGATGAGACTGCTGAATAATTAATGCTTGCTAGAACAACAATGCTTGCATCTGTTCCACAAATACTGCCAAGTCCTTAAATCAATGAGTTGACCATTTGGGATTTTCATCACTTTACAAAAGACTGTTTGAAAAACCCTAAAATTTCCATGACTAAAATGATGTGCAATATACTCATATACCTATTGATGTTTTACTTGTAAGCAACCTGAATTTATTCTTTGCTTTTCTCCCCAATCAGAATTTTTTTAAACAGTCTTCAGACAAAAAAAAAAAGATAATTTAATTGTGTTTTAAAAATGTTTATATTTTGCTTATTGCAAATAAGTCTTTAGTTATGACATTGTTCCTGTGTTTCCAGACAAGGAACTTAAACAGATACAAAAGCAAGCATTTATCTAAGGGGCTTCTTTCCTTTTTTAAATCAGGGGCACAAGAGAACAAAACAAAGCTATAGGAAAGCTCAATCTCTGGATTTTAAGAAAAAAAAAATGCAGCTAAGCTAGGACCAAGAACTGTCACTATAAGCTTCCAGTGTTACATGCGCAGAACTTGATGATTTTACAGCAAGGTCTAGATGACAGGATACTCAAGTCATCAAGCAGGTTTAAGTAGTACCTTAACTTTAAACATTGAAGTTGGTCATTAACTTCAGTAAGACTTTATATACTTTTAGACTCAGTGCAAACTTAAGCACTACAAGCTACAAAGATTAGGCACATAGCAAAGAAAGAGGATGAAGCTTTTTTACTTTGGGCAATGTTACCTTTGTAAGCTTAGGACTTTCATTAGAATGGCTCATTAATTTACATAACAATTTAAGTGCACTATCATTAAAAAGACATTACCAAAGATATCCCAAGAAAGGAGTGAGGAAATACACAAGGCAAAAAACCCCAGAGCCAGATATACAGAATAAAAGGACACATGCAACCCTTCGTAGATATCCCTTAGTTTGTTGGAATGTATGTTTCTAATTCAGCTAGGCAGTTAACACATTTTAAAAAAACATTTATGTAAAATTCATTTGGTATTGAAAGGCAAATAAAAAGAAAAACCAATAAAAAGATCCCTTCCACCACTGGAAAAGAGAGCTCTTAAAATGACTTTGAAATCACCTTGGGATACTTAGAAGGTAGTCTAGTGTGACACTCAGCTCGTCCATACTCGTCTGTTCAAGGCATAACGGAATTGTCAGAATGAGGCCACTTCTTCTGTCCTTCCCTCCTATTTCAGGGGAGAAAAAAATCATTAGAAAGGTATTGTGGTGGATTTAAGTTAAAAGAAATACTTTGCAGTTACATGGTCTCAAAATACATCACAAAAGTAGTCTATAAAGTTGCTGTGAAAAGCACAGCTGACACTTCACCTCTCAGTTGTAAGGATTCATTCACCACATTGGTATTTAAAGCATCACCAAGGCTTCAGAGCCTAGACCACACCTGTAGCTGTCATAGTCTTTCATCTAGGACTTTCAACCTAAACAACACAAATCAAGTGTTCCAGAAGCATTATTTTTGCTTATCTAGATCACATTTTTAAGAAGTATCTCCTAGGCCTTCCACACTATCAGTCTTTCAGAAACGTGGTAAGCTTCCAAGGTGAGCATGTACCCAGCAGCTCCCACTGGAACATAACAATTCCTAGAAACATTGACTACACAAAGGAGGATCTCGCACCACGCAGGCTGCCCATGGCACATACTCTAAATTGGTAGTTCTTTCTTCAAACAGGTAAGATTTCCAGACCTATCTACAAACACATAACAGTCACCTCACAATCAAGCTAAATATTTCCAACCAGCTGCTTTAATCTTCATATGCCTTTTCAAATCCTTCTGGTAAAGTCATGCAAACAATATCAGCAACAAAAATATTGAAGGAGCTGTCCTCACGTATTCACTGAGATCCAGTAAGATCAACTGTTAAGTTATGCTGATATGCTGCATTTAAGTAGATGTTCCACAACTGCGGTTTGGGTTGTTTTTGGCTAAACAGACTCTCAAGAAAGTCTCTGGAAAGGTACAGTTTAAAAAAAAAGTCTTTAAAGAAAGCAGAAATTTTCTCTGCTGATCTTTCTTCTAAAAGATTGACTTCTGAGTCACAGGGGTATGAACCAGTAGCCAAAATGGATTTGGACTAGGTTCTTACCCATAGCTTAAATTGGAACTGAAGCCAAATCCACTGAATACAAGATCACATGAAAAATAAATACTGACATGGCTCCCTGAAACGGTCAATCAGCAAATGCTGTAGAGTGAAGAAAATCAGGGCTGCAACTGACTTATCATAACTTCAAGTACAGGGGCATCACTGGTGACCTTTTGAAGGCAGAAGGCCTTGAGACCAAAACAGTTGCCCCTAAATGGCTGTCAATGCAGAGGATTAAGTAAATGGGTCAAAGGCACCTGCGACAACTTTCTCTTAATTTGGGGCAACTCATCTAGTTCATGTATTCACCATTTTGAGCAAAACAGCTTATCTGTTCCCCCCCCCCTTGAATCTTTTAATGTCTACAACTAGCAAAAAGGAGACCTTAATTTCAAAACTCAATCAAATATTTTGGTTAGGGGAACAGGATAGGAAGTATGAGAAGTGGGGAAGGGAATTTTCACACAAAGTGAAGAACATCAATGAATCCAAACATCCTCCAGAAGGACATAGTACTTGAGTTTATAGTTTATTGAACCATAACTTCAATCATCTTGAAGTTTGGGGGTGGATTTTTAATCCTTGAGTATTTTTTTTGAAACTAATACCCATCTCTACATTAAACCAGTCTCAAAGTAAGTTTTCCACAACCTAGAGTAGCTGAAAGCATTTTCCATTTTATTCAATATTATTTTTTAGAATAAGTTTTAATATATTAGCTATTTATAAAATATTGCAGTTATTTAAGTACATGTAGGAGGCAGTTACTAAACAATTTTCTCCATATTTTAGAAACACTGTACAAAGATAGCCACAATGTCAGCTTTATTTGGGGTGACAAAGAAGCAAAGTAAATATCCATAGCCTGAGAAAAAACACCTTTATTCTCAAATTGTGTTATTCATGTGGTTAAAGCCATTAAATCATGCTTTTCCTTCATAAAGTTACTTAATGTTGTTAGAATTGAAGTTCTCTCTAGTCAGTAAGAACAACTTTTCACAGAATAGTAACAGCTGTGCAGAAATAAGACAAAGGGCATGAGCACAGCAGTGCTTGCAGATGCATACACATACATTGACATAATTTGATAAGAATTCCCCCCATCCATTAGAGATGCAGGCAAGATAATAAAAAACCTGTTTGTTTACACAACATATGCTAGCATCTTAATTGCAATAGGTTGTTTTTTTCCTTGTTTCCAAAGCTATGCAAACTCCCCAAAGAGTATTAAAGGTCCACTCATACACACATTTTGGACCTGCTGCTTTAAGTGGTCCATCGCAGTAGCTGTGTTCCCCTCCCTTTCTTTTTTTTAGGGGAGAATTGTTGCTCGAAAACAGTAGTGCACATTTTAATAACTATATTTCTAAACAAAAGTATAAAGAGTGTGCTATATGAGAGAGAACAAACAGATACTTTTCAGAGAAACGAAGAGGGAATCACAGTTTAAAGCAATAGTTATTTAGATTGTCCACCCTTCTCTGTTTTTGAATGGCAGAAAGCTTGAAAATTGGGAGTGGGGAAGCAGGAAAAAAGGAAGGAAAAATATCTCAGTGCTTTAAGAACTGGACATTTGTTCTCATCTGTACACTTGGAGTGCAAAAAGAATTTCTCTCCACTTGCTACACTGCTTAGTGAACGCACATTAAATCCAACAAGTAAGAGGAAAATGGTAAGTTTATGGATGTAAAATAATCAGAAGCCATACTGATTCAATGGTAGCTTGTTAGCTATCATCTCTCAACAAGAATAAAACATTAAAATAAAGAGGCCTTTTCTTAAGTGTTCAGGCATTGTTTGGTCTTTCCTTATCCATAAGGAAATCCTCATAGAAGGGAGCATAGCAGTTTTTAGGAATATAGAAAACAAGTTTGTTGAAACTAAAGTTTGCAATAGCCAAATTTATGAGTTACATGCTGTAAAATGGAGGAACTATGAAACATTACTGGAGCAGAGAAGAAAACACTGTCAACAAGTATGAATACAAATTAAGAACACAGACTGGACAGAATTTGGCAAACTGAGTGAGCCTGCGATACGAAAAGTAAGAACACAAGAGGTTATGAAGGTATTTCTACAAGGAACAGTAGAAGGGTTGCCTTGAACCAGCTTCCAGGGTCCAAAACTCCATGAGCCACGACAGCAGCTCAGGGCTCTATCGGACAATATATTTGTAAGAATTGTATCTAACATTCCCTTCTCCTCCTCTACTCATGAACTTGTGAGTGGAGCACTGAAGTTGTTCTTTATAATGAATATATACATGGCTGGGGAAGAAAAGGTTTGCAAAAAAACACATTTTCTTCTTGCATTTATAGCAAGTTAGTCTTACCATACCTGATTCATAACTGGAAGGGACTTGTTCTGTTCAAAGTTACTTCTGGATTCATAGACAGAAAAACACCAGCCCCCACAAAAGTAGTTGAATATTAATAGTAGTTCATGTTTTGTTTACAGACACTTGAAAGACTCCGTTGTTGAACAGTCTCTAACTAATGAAAGTTTAGAATTGGCACTTGAAGCCCACTCACGCAAGATACTAGACACACAGAAATTCTCACTTTTATACCTGGATTTACACGGCATTTGCCGAACTGACTAAAAAAAGCCACAAACCAAACCCCAAAACTATAATCTCTTTGACATTTCACAAAAAGACCACAATAATTATCTAAATTATTCAGTTTCATGACAAATCATCTTGTGTAACAACTGGTAGGTTTTTCCCTCAGCTTGTAAACGCTACTAGAAAAGATTCAAACATCCATATTCTGCCTGCACTATGATTTTTGTGCAGCTTTCTTGCACTGAAGTACATACAGATCAGGTAAATATTCTCTTTGTGCTGTGTCAGGTTGACAGAACAAGGTAGAAATTATCACTGATTCTTTCCCTCAGTGAAAAATGACGGCCAGTCATTTATGTAAAAGATAACTGGTATATCTTCATCCATCTAAGAATAATTTTAACTCAAAGCTGTATTTTTAAAGGAAATACTGAAAAAACCTGAATGGGGTATTAAAGGAGTATTAAAGTTACCAGTTAAAGTTATGGTTATCATGCATGTAGTCTAACATTTCCCAATACTAACACACTAAACAATAAGAATTATTTAATTAAACAGTAAAGTTGTTCTTTGATCTTGGTTATATTATTTGTAACTCCTTTCTAAAAGTTGAAAATTCTATAAATATTTACCACCACCTTCAGAATAAAGCGTGTAGTGAGATAAGCCCAATCGCATTGTGATTTTAGGTGTGGCAAATACCACCTCCCTGTCTTACAAGGAGCACTACACTCAGACTAAGTCTTTAAGCTTAGAATTAAACCTGAAAAATAAAATCAGGAGAAATTAACTTCATGTGTGTTGTGACTCAGAAGTGGTGTAGTTTATAAATCGAAAACATGTTTAAGTCAAGGAAAGCAACTAAGAGCATCACACAAAAAAGACATTTTTAAATCCATTTTGCAACAAAGTGGTTGTTCAGGTTTTTTTACCAATTCAGTAGCTTGCCTTCAGTAATGACCTACTAACATGGAAGCCATGGATTCCACATCTGAGGAGACACTGCTCCATTAGAAACCGCCCTTCCCCGAAAAGGAAGGCAGGGCCAACATTATTTGTACCAATTTAACTCAAAAATGACAAGAGACTTCAACATATAAACATTGGAAAACATTTTCCTAATATATTAATGATTTTTAAAAAAAATCAGAAAAATAATGTGGGGTTTTTTAATGAAACTATATGGAATAAAATTGTTTTAAAAAGATATGATAAACTGATTTCTCTGTCAGGTTCTTTTACTTACACTGAAGAAAGCTTAAAAGAACTACTCCATGAATCTTTACTATTCATTAAATTAAAGCATCCATTAATACTACACAATTCCAAAAAGGTCAAAACTACTTAGAAATATGTAGGTTCAAAGAGGTTCCTAGCATTTAAACTGTCACTCAACAAATTACTTTTCACTAAGAACATCTATATTTTGAAATGGATCAGGCAGCTTTAATAACAAGTTGAAAAAACGCACTCTAGTTAATGAGAGCTTCCCCCTGCAGTATAATGCAATCACACTATGCATCTGCTATTACTACAAAAGAAATTGCTCACTGTCCAAGCTTTAATGTAAGTTGAGTTTAGGGGGGAAGGGGGATGTTATTTGTTTGTCTGTAAACAGGAATTGTTTGATTTGCAATTTCTGGGGACAGAGGGCAAATTCAAAACAAAAGAAATCTATTAACAAAAGGAACAGGTTTCACTTCTCAAGTGACTGAGGCAGGCTAAACTAGACCAGCTAAAGTAAACTAAACCAGAAAAATATTTATTTATGGGAGCACTTGTCAATTTGTGAAGTTAAGAAGTGTCCTGCAAGTTACCTACCTACCCTAGAGTAAACAATCAAACATCAAGAACCAACACAGCTATCTATGACAACAGTGAAATCAGCAAGAGAACATCATTCATCATGTTAAGCATTCCTTTTTGCTTTTCTTTGGCATGGGGAGGAGAGAAAGTTACCTTCACCACAAGATTCAAGAAGTTTTAATAATTACAATTACTCAAGCCTTGCCTGAATTAACTACTTGGTAATAATCAAAATGTTGCAATGCACAGCTAATTCTGCTTCCAACCATTTCTATGTTGGAGAAAAGACGAAGTGAAAAGGAAGGAAATATTTTTCTAAAAAAAATCCTAAAAATATTCACTCTATTTCTGAAATCACGTTAAAAAACAAACAGAAAGGATGTCTTCTAAATCATCATTCTTTTATATATGGACCGAAACCTCATGAAATCAACTTTATGGGTTGAGTTACAAGCTCCAGCAAAAAAAGTGCTAAATGCCAACAGCAATAGCTTGGCTAGTAGATTAAAAGTTAAATACAATCAACAAAGACAGAGTAACCAAGCTAAAATTCCCATTCAAATTATGCAGGGAGGAACCAATAAGGAAAAACAGAAACTGTACCTGAAAGAAAAGCCAATTTTTTCTTCAGAATGGGTAATATTACTGAAGCTTCCATTCTACTTCAGATAATTTTCACAGCTCTGAAACACAAGAAGTTAAAGTTGTCAAGCATGGGAAATAAATTCCAATGTTTCACTAGAATAAGTACTGGCCAAAACACTTCTGTACTCTTCTGAAGAAAGCACAGAACACTGTTACCAAAATCCAAAGTACTGTAAAAACTGAAGAAAAAACATTATCATAGGCATTTATCCATGTAAATCTTTTTAATTAAAGATTTCTTCCTCATCACTGTAAAAAAAAACCCAACAAAAAACCTCCACCAAAACCCACATACCTCAAAGGAGAATCTCAACCCACGACACAGAGAATTTTATATAAAAGTTTGTTCCTCACCCCTATTAAATTACAATTAATTTACAGGTACATCATCTTGTTTGCTCAGTCATCCAGATGTAAAATGTGTAAATAAAATTACACTTTTGCATAGTCTGTCTCATATTACCAGAAATATATTATGCTGCATTTATGTCAAGACACTGCCATTAGTAGGTCCTCAATTAAAGAAAAACACCCAACAGCCAGAGTAAACATGTCTAACCTAGAGCTGGAAATGTTTCTGCTCCCTGTGTCTCCAAATCCCTTCCTACCCTCATACCATTTTTATTGCATTATGAACTGCAATTCACTCTGATTAAGCTTCTGTGTTTCACTGACAACACGATGCTTGAACTGCAACCTCCTCTTCCAGTCTACACAAAGTACCAACTGGCATCTGCTTGTAAGTCTTTGAGTTAATGCTTGCCAAATCAATCCATATAATCAAAACTCTAATTCTGCACAGAAATACGCAATTCAAAATATGCGCCAGTATCCAGTCAAAATAAAAAACAGATTAAAAATATTATTTTTTTCTTTAATTCCAGGCACAGGGCTGCAAACTGCAACCTGGAGTTCTCTGTCTAGATACTTCAGCATTCATACACACGAACAGAACTTTCTCCCTAGGGTGGAGGGGAACTTGACTGAATCAAGACTGTAAGTGATCTAGGAGAAAAAAAGAAGAAACCAAAAGAACTCCAAGTAGAGAGCCTGGAGTAAAACTGAATAGCTGCTCCTTTTGTTAAAACAATGAGCTTCATTATAAACAAAAAAAAGCAGAATGATTATTTTTATTATGAAACAGAAATAACATTTCAACAACTTTTTACTGTCCCTCCCTGTTCCAATGTGTAATGCTTCACAATGTTCATTCCCACCCCTTATCCCAAAATCTCCATATATATGTATCATTTTTGTCCCATATAAAATACACATTTCCCACATTACAGAAGGAAACAAATTTCAGTTCTTTCAGGAAACTGAGTCCCAATACAGCTTGCACTTGAAGCAATTACTCAAATAAGCATCCTATTAGAGCTTCCTGTAGGCTTCAGACAAAAATTCATAGGTTACCTGTTGCATAAAACACAAAACTCAAGAATGACTTGGGCAGTCATTTTTGTTCCTCATCCACCACGTGCAAACCATCCTGTCTAGGCTATTTAACTTTGGCGGTATTCTTCTTTTCTTAAGATGTGGAACACGTACCTTGTAATGATTTTCCTCTCTCCTCCCCAAGTTATATTTCAAAATTATTACAAATGGCTCTTTATTATAACCAATTAAGAAAGCCCAAACCTACACATACTTCATTATCCTCATATTTTCATATATGAACAAAAGTTTGCATCAACTTTTGACTCCAGGGAACATGTTACTCTGCTGTTGTGAAAAGATCTATTTATTTAATATGAAAGCACTGCATGGCTTTCTGCCACAGTAGTGGCACTGTCCATAGATCAAAATAGTTCTTTTGTTCGGTATTTCCTGAAACCAAAGGAAGCATTCTGCGCATTTGGGGTAGAGGGAGGTGAGTCAGAACAATTGCCAATAATTTCAAACACCTAGCCTCTGTTCCAGAAGCTCCTGAAGTTTTCAATTACGTCTCTTCTGTGAGAGCCTTGATGTGCTCCATCTAGAAGGAAACTCTCACCAGAGTAAGCTATCGGAACATACCAGAAAAAAGTCTTCAGGTTTAAAAATGAAGTTTAATATCCCTCTCTGTCTTTAAGACTCCAGATAATCTCAGGATGAATTAAACTAAATGTTTTTGTTTTTTTTTTTAATATTGGAAAGTGAAACAATTTCAAGAGAGCTGGTGTCAACTTTCTGCTGGGAGCTGTCAAAGGTGTTTTAAAAAATGTACACTGGTAAAAAGCAGATAAGTATATTTAGATCTACAAATAAAACATAAGGTCTTTTTAACTTGTTCTGAGGAAGACAAAACAACCAGCTCAAACTGGCCATCAAGCTCTCAATTTAGAATGAGGAGAGAATGATGTGTTGCTCAATGTTGTACCACTATTTAGGTCAAATAGATCCATGATTGTCTAATCATCAATAGAAAAGGCATTTAGAGTCATTAAATAGAAAAAAGCTATAGAGGAAAAACGAGAGCACTGTAGAGAACAGATTTCAATTCAGGAAAGTGAAATACTTCAAGAAGTTGCATTTTATCACTTCTGAAACAAAGACATAAAATTTTTATATGCTCAAATTTTACAGATATGAAATAAGTTAAAGAGGTTAAATCTGTTTGCTAAATTTCAGAAACAATCTACAGCACTGCATGCCCACCTGGAATCTACTTTGCCAATTAAAATATTATATGCCAAATTGTAAAACTTGTGTATGCAGGAAACATGCTAAATAAAAGAACCATATTGAAGAACCTCACTGAACTTGTTTAGAATAACCTGGGCTTTCAGGTTTTTAAATCAATACAGCAACATTAATCTCCAACAACGTATTAATTCTTTTGAAGATTTCCACAGAAAAGCAGCAAGACTAGTCCACATAATATTTGTATTTAAAATCTAAATATTTGAAATGTGTTTCAGTGAAACAGAAAACTCTTCCAACCCCCTCACGAAACAGAAACTAAGAGAATTGTCTCCACAAGTAGTACTAAATACAAACTTAAATGAAATAGGTGTACATTAGGTGGAAGATGGGGAGACAGTAAATAAATAGTAAAAAAAAAGATAAAATTTACAGAACAGGTAAAAACGCAGACAATATTTCAGGCTGTACTGCAAGGTGATATCAAATCATGACTTCGTAGGCTGCATCCCCTATCATATCTAGGGTCTGGAAAGACTGTAAAATACATTGGTTTACCCAGCAGAGTTTAAATTCTAGAAATTCTTTCCAAAAAAAACCCCAACACACACAACTCAAAAGCCACAACACCCACACACAATATCAAGTACGTGTAATTCAGCACTAAAGTGCATAATTTCTGATGAATGAAGACTATCACCTGCATTTTCTGCTACACATCTTCAGTCTCACCTAATAAAAAAATTAAATAAGGACCAATGTCCAGACACTGTTTAAACCCATTGAAAAAGTCTATTAGAGAGAGAGGGCAGAGGGCAAAGCTGACAGACTCACATTGATTAGATGACTTGAAGATGCCCTGAAGATGTTAGAAGCAACCCAGTGAGAACCACTGGTCAAAAAACATTAACAAACAAAATTAATTCAGGCTCAATGAGAATATAAACATGCTTACACAAATTCGTTAGATCTGAAATATTCAATACTCTCAGTACATGGTGCAAGGTCTTTAAATGGGTTAGTCTGTTCACAAGCATCTATTGCAGGTTTCAAAGAATGAATACTTTCTTCATTCTCTCATCATGTATCAAGCAAGAGAGAGTAGCTGGTCTGTTACACACAGAACTAAAAATCGGGGGAAAAATCTGGTTTCTATTCCTTGTTCTGCTATGAAATATACGTATGGCTTTCAGCAAGTCATTTATCCCTTTTAGTCTTCGTTCAGTCCCTCCATCCGTAAAATGGAGATGTTATATTAATTCCCCTTTTTACAAGGGTGTTGTGATGTTTAATTCATTAATGTTTTTGAAGACTTGAGAGATTAGAAGGAACTCCATAGATCTGCCTATAAATAACCAGGCAGATGGGCAGCTACATTCAAAATTGTAGCAGCTTGCAAGTCCAGGCACAAACAATAGCACAAATAACAGACATTCTGCAGTACTGCAAAACAAAAAACAAAAAAGCCTCAGTCATACAGAATGAAATTCTTTTTTTCCACCTTTTAAAATTAAATTTTGAATTGCAGACCTTCAAAATTAACACCTTCATTCCCTGAAGCCAGCATGAAAGTTTTTTCAGATGCTAAGTTCAACCCACAAAGCATTACCCCATGCTTTTTCTGGATCAGCTTAAAAAAAGTTCATCCATCCCACACAGAAATAAAATACATTTACAAAAAAGAGACAGAAAGCTGAATATTACAATTATCTACATAGACTGTTATTTCACCTTCCTTTGAAGCTACATTAAAGCTGTGGGAGAAATGATATCCTAAGTGGCACAAAGACAGAACACAAATGAAGGTGTCTCCAGGGCTGATACCCCACAGTAATTTGAGAAGCACACCAGATCTGCCCAAAAAATGGAAAGAGGCTGTAAGCATTCATTTGTTTATGCTGTCTTCAATTAAAGACCACATGGAACTAGGTTACTCAGCTGGACAGTTTCAAAATAACAATAAAACCTGACAAACATCAGCTTAGGTACTCAAATGCAGCATTTGGATTTTAGTCTTTATGCTTTATGAGCAACACTAATAAATTTTTACGTTAGAGCCCTTTAAAGCCTCAGGAGAAAAGGTAACTCCACATATTTAGAAAAGATCAAATCAAGGTTTTTGGTTTATTCAACTATCTTCTTCAGTTATAACTATTTTCTTTTTGACTATTGGTAAAAACTATTCATAAAAAAGGGCATACTGAAGTCTTGTATTGCGCCTAATTTTCAAGTTGTATGCAAAATATTCCTGATCTTCCATAACTTCTTAATTCATACTAAAGGATTAAGAAAATAAAAAAACAGACTCATTAGATTTCATCAGTATGTAAGCTTGTTCAATTTTAAAGCAATTAAATGCAACCATACAATGTCAGTTCCATCACACATACA